TGAAACAAATAATGCAATATATGTTAAGAAAAAAAAAAAAAGAAGAAGAAGAAGAAGAAGGTAGCGGGAGGGGAAGAATGAGGCAGGGGAAATCAGAGGGGGAGACGAACCATGAGACACTATGGACTCTGAAAAACAAACTGAGGGTTCTAGAGGGGAGGGGGGTGGGAGGATGGGTTAGCCTGGTGATGGGTATTAAAGAGGGCACGTTCTGCATGGAGCACTGGGTGTTATACACAAACAATGAATCATGGAACACTTCATCTAAAACTAATGATGTAATGTATGGGGATTAACATAAGAATAAAAAAAAAAAAAAGAGAGATCAAGACCCACAGTCGGTACACACTGTTCTGGTGAAATTCATGAACGTGTGTAAGCCAAGGAATAGAAGAGGACTTCGGGAAAATGGACTAGACTGTTTGCACAGGGTGACTAGAGGGGAAGAGACAGGAAAATGTAGCTTGAGTAGTTGTTGTGGACACTGGGAAAAACGTTTGTTGAATTAATGAATGTAAAGAGAGTAGGGCCATTGCAAAACGTGCTGAGAGGGAATTAGAGAATGATTTAAGAGTGATGAGAGGGGAAATGAAGAAATGCATGCAAGATGTACATGGAGGACCAAATAAGATTTTTTAAAAATCCATCAGTGTATATGTATTTATGTATAGACATTGAACTAGTCATACATAAAATCAAAGAAGCTATATGAAATAATTGCGTCAAAAATTGTTTTAAGTGTTATAAGCAAATCTAAGCTACTCAAAACTAAGCTCACCGGTAATGCAATGGAAAAATTCATACTGCCTCAGGAGAAAAGGAAAGAAACATTTGTTTAGGCATCTACTGAGAGTCAGGTATGCAATTTCTTGTTTGGTCCTCACAACCCTGTCAAACAAATATTGATGTGTTTATCCTACAAATAAGGAAACTGAGGCTCAGAGAAGTTTGTTTTTTAAGAGCTAGTCAGAGCAAAAGCGGACATCTGGACCCAGGTGTTCTGATTCTAAAGCTTGGGTCAATTATGAAAAATGTTACAATTCTTTTCTTTTTTTTTTTTTTTTAAAGATTTTATTTGACAGAATGAGAGAGAGAGCACATGAGAGGGGGGAGGGTCAGAGGGAGAAGCAGACTCCCCGCCGAGCAGGGAGCCTGATGCGGGACTCGATCCAGGGACTCGATCCAGGGACTCCAGGATCATGACCTGAGCCGAAGGCAGTCGCTTAACCAACTGAGCCACCCAGGCGCCCTACAATTATTTTCTAAAAGAATAAGGTGTATTCCATTTCAGTACGCAGCACAACTTTTCAAACCAACTTGTGGGCTCAAAAGAACTCTTAATAATCTGCCCTTGACTATTTACAGAGGAGAAATAAAGAATTATAATTAAATGACAGGTAATGTCTTAAAAATAATTTTTTATTTAGTTTTAAAATTGCTGTAGTAGTTACAATTGGATGCAGGAGCCAAATAGTCTAAAAACTTTAATTAAAAAACAATAGGGAAGCCATTTCAGGAACAGATGGGAAACTATTCATGTCCTTAATTATTCCCTCCCCCAACTGATTCCACGTGGGGAACAAACAAGTTATTTATCATATTAACACAAAATACCAACATGGGAGGTGCTAGAAATTTTACCCAGAGCTTGGATTTCAATAGAAAAGAAACAGATTAAATGTTAAACTTGGACTAATAACTAAAGTAGCAATTTCAAGAAAAAAATGAATAAGTAAAAGGCAAACATTTAAGTAACAGCTCAAATTTTCACTAGTATTTTAATGTCAGATCATTTTCAAGTTTGATGCCTTAGGAACTGAGGAAAATATCATGCCCTTTTTGTGAAATGAAGAACTTCGCCTTTTGTTTTGTAAAGTGTCTATCTTCATGTAACTAACTCCTGTATATAAACTTGTTTTCCTAAATATCACGTGGGCAGTTTGTGCTGTTTGTTCTGGGTTCCAAAGACAAACACTCCCAATAACCCTTGGAAACAAACAAACAACTGAACAGTTCCTATGGACAGGCACAGAGATATTTTGCCTTGATGTGGGGGTAAACCCCTATCTGTAGGTGGAGCACGAGCTCAGGCATTCTCTTCTGGTGCACCTGTGGAGTTTGATGAACACTCAAAAGCAATTTTCTTAGCAATCCAGAAGACATTGTTTTCTACCCTTTGGGTCCCACAGACTGAAATTAAAGCTTGGAATCTGTTATTAACTGTAGCACTAGTCATCAATTTAAATGGGATCCCTGGGTGGCTCAGTTGGTTAAGTGTCTGACTCTTGATTTTGGCTCTGGTCATGATCTCAGGGTCGTGAGATGGAGCCCTGCATCATGCTCCATGTTGGGCCTGGAGCCTGCATAAGATTCTCTCCCTTCCTCTACCCCTAGCGACACCCTCCCCCTTGCGTGCTCTCTCTCTCTCTCAAATAAATAAATATACTACCAGGATGACAAAAAACACAAGTGCCTCAGCAGTGATTTCTAGGCACATATGCACCGTTAGAAATCTTTATTTTATTATGTTATGTTAGTCACCATACAATACATTGTTAGTTTTTGATGTAGTGATCCACGATTCATTGTTTTCGTATAACACCCAGTGCTCCATGTAGTACGTGCCCTCTACAATACCCATCACTGGGCTAACCCATCCCCCCACGCCCTCCCCTCTAGAACCCTCGGTTTGTTTCTCAGAGTCCATAGTCTCTCATGGTTCATCTCCCCCTCTGATTTCCCCCTCTTCATTTTTCCCTTCCTTCTCCTAATGTCCTTCATGCTATTCCTTATGTTCCACAAATAAGTGAAACCATATGATAATTGACTTTCTTTGCTTGACTTATTTCACTTAGCATAATCTCCTCCCGTCTCATCCACGTTAATGTAAAAGTTGGATATTCATCCTTTCTGGTGGCCGAGTAATATTCCATTGTATATATGGACAACATCCTCTTTATCCGTTCGTCTGTTGAAGGGCATCTAGGCTCTTTCCACAGTTTGGCTATTGCGGACATTACTAGAAATCTTTTCAGAGATGACATGTTTCCAACAGATAAAGCCTTATTAGATATATTCCCCTTGCTATAGAGACTTTTCCAATCATTTGATCTTCCAAATTTGGACAACTCTGAGGTGAGACATATCAAGTGTATCAGGCCCCAGTTCTGTTGGTAATAAATTTCCCTCAGAATTTCCATTGTTCCATCACAGTCATGTCTGCTGCATTGGGTGTGAGGAAGTTCATGGGATGGGAGATTTAATTTTTTTTTTTCTTAAGATTTTTTTATTTATTTGCAAGAGAGACAATGAGAGACAGAGAGCATGAGAGGGAGGAGGGTCAGAGGGAGAAGCAGACTCCCTGCCGAGCAGGGAGCCCGATGTGGGACTCGATCCCGGGACTCCAGGATCATGACCTGAGCTGAAGGCAGTCGCTTAACCAACTGAGCCACCCAGGCGCCCCGGGATGGGAGATTTAAAAGTTAAGTGAAATGGTATTAAACTTTTAGCCAATCAGGACACATGGATCAATTTCAGATCAATCTTAAGAGTCGTTTATTCTAGTAGGTTATCACTGTTATTGTGCATACAGTTTAAAAGAATCATAATTTGGGGCGCCTGGGTGGCTCAGTTGTTAAGCATCTGCCTTGGCTCAGGTCATGATCCCAGGGTTCTGGGATCGAGCCCAGCATCGGGCTCCCTGCTCGGTGGGGAGCGCGCTTCTCCCTCTCCCATTCCCCTTGCTTGTGTTCCCTCTCTCGCTGTGTCTCTGTCAAATAAATAAATAAAATCTTAAAAAAAAAAAAGAATCATAATTTGATGTATCCAGGCCTTTGAGGGGAAATTCTTTGTGACATACATAAATGCACTACTATGTATTATTTATCATACATATAAGATTAAGTATACATAATACAAATGCATATAATTTTTTCTATAACTCCATCTAAACTTTAGAAATTGCTAAAGGAAAATTTTTCTGACCTTTGTTAAAGACAGTAAGGAAGACTTTATTCAAGGGACCATTGCAAGTGGGTTTTACAACAGGGGCGTGAGTTGGGGCTCCATTCTGAACACAACAAAGAAAAGTGGGGATTTATAGCCAAGGAGCAGGGCTGGGGTCAGTGGATGGAAAATTTCTAAGAGGAAACATCAGGGCCAAGGGGATTCTGGCTAAACTGACTTGAAGGATTCTCGCTGAAGGCAGGCCGGGGGAGCAGATATCAAAGGTGAGGGATACAGAATTTGATCAATATGGAAGGGGGGGTCCTTAAACAGACACCGCAGAGCAGGATTCTTGCTAAAATTGAATAAGGGGGCTAAGGACAGAGCTCAAGATTTGAGCCTCCAGAAGATTCCAACAAGCCTGACTCGGGTTCGCTCAAGGTAAGAGTGTTTGTCAAAATACATTTAAAAATAATTATCTGGAAGGAAAAATTGATTAGAAAATCACCTCATTAAGTCTTCACCTCTCAAAACACCGCGGAGATAGGAATTACCCTAATTGTTAGTGCTGCCACTAAGAACAAAAATTATTGGATGCTTCTGGGTGTCAGGCCCTATACCAGGTCTGGGACTAAAACATACTTAAGACACAATCTGTTCTTGCCAGGTTAGCCACACAATACAGCAATTAGAACAGGCAATTTGTAAATCAATTACAAAACGGCTGCCATTAAAGAAGATTTTTTGTAGATTTCCTTAAAGGACAAGCAGGAAGAAAAAGAATCCCCCTTCAATCAAGACTCCTGCTTTCTTTTTCTGCTCGTCCGAGAAGCCCCCGCTCAGGCCGTGGCCTCCCGGCCTCGCTCCCTCGGCCCACCCACCATTGCTCGCCCACCTCTCAGCCCCTCTTCCCGCTCCCCGCCGGCACCACCACCGCGGAGGCCCCGGCGCCTGCGCACGTCCCCGGCTCCCCCGCCGACAGGGGGCAGGCCACGGTTTTCTGTCCTCCGCGCCTGGACTCTGGCGCCCCTCTTGCCCCAGCCTTTCCCCCCAGGCTCCCGCCTCGATACGCTTCCTTAGCAACGGGTTGCCTTTGGCAACAGGAGGACGCGGGGCCCTTGGCTGGGTTTCCCGCGCCTTCCTACACCTGCTTACCGTAGAAGGCGCAGGCCGAACCATGTCGGAGATTCTGTGCCAGTGGCTCAACCAGGAGGTGAAGGTGTCCCAGACCGTGAGTGAGTGACACAGCCCGGGGAGAGCGGCCTAGGGGCGAGCGGGGCGCAGAGCCCCGGAGCGCGGCGTGCGGATGGAAGGTGGCGGGGGAGGCGCGAGCTGTGCAGTCCAGGTGCCCGCGGGGCCCGGCAGCGCCCCAGGCCCGTCTGGTGGCCCCAGTCACCTCAGCCTCTCCCATCCCCATCCTGCCGCCCCCGAGTTATCCATCATCACGGTGGGCCCAAGCCCGGTTTCTGATCTACGGTGCGCTTCTAAGCCATCAGAGGGTTTAGGGAGGTATCCTTCGTTCCTATGGAGAGAAGAATTTGCTGGACTCAATAATATGGCCCTGACATTATTCCCTTCACATCCTTAGAAGCATGGTAGGCTGGCAAGCCCATGAAATCTGAAGCCCTAAAGCCAACTACTAGGGCGCCTGGGTGGCTCAGTCGGTTAAGCGACTGCCTTCGGCTCAGGTCATGATCCTGGAGTCCCGGGATCGAGTCCCGCATCGGGCTCCCTGCTCGGCGGGGAGTCTGCTTCTCCCTCTGACCCTCCCCCCTCTCGTGTGCTCTCTGTCTCAAATAAATAAATAAAATCTAAAAAAAAAAAAAAAAGAAAGCCAACTACTAGATGTGTGCCCCCGGACAAGTTACAATACCTTCTCTGAGTGTGTTTCCTCCAGTATAAAATAGATCCGATCACACTCTCCGTACCTACCGACCTAGCGGGAGAGGGGGCGTGTGTGAAACGGGTTAATGCAGCAGTTTTAGCTCAAAATTTACAAACATTAGCTATTTCCGACCACTCTTCACTCTTGGCTAAAGCTGACCTTATTCACTAATCTGATTATCGCAGCCGTCCAAAGTTTCTAACTCCCACAACCACACAGGCAGTTGTACATGCTGGCGATTTCTGTGACAGCCGAGTAATTCCAGCAGAGCACTATCCTCCCGCTCAGCTTCTTTCTCTTGTTTCTTCAGCACTTCGTTTTCCAGCTGGTCTGGTTTTTGCTCAAGGCAAGAGATTTTCAGCCCCAATCATTTCAGCCTGTTTTCGCAAAAGCACCCTTGCATAACGCCCAGTTGGTACCAGAGGGGCAATAGTGCCTACCCGACCTTAGGTCAACCGTGGAATTTGCTAGACTAGTAGTGTTTCTGAAGCAGCAAGATATTCGTCGTCAGCATTAGGCTCCTTAATGTTGGAGCACCTCCAGTTGCATTTCTTGAGGCATAAACCCTAGTCTTTTTCTTTGCCAAACCACACCGCCTGCACTCCCTGGGAACTGCAATATATTCTTTCACAGGATTCTATGATCATCCCATTTTGTCACTGTTTCTCACTTAAAATATGATGCTGATCACAGCACAATGTTTAGCACTTTTTTTAATTCCCTTTTTACCAGTGGAGCCAAAGTGCAATATAATTCCCTTAAGTTACACTCTTCCAAAGAAAAGCAGTTACGGGTTGCTGAGTTTAATTTGGTTCATTTACTTGGTTAGTAAAAAAACCACACCCTTTGGTCAAGTCCCCAAGACTCTATTGCATATTGAAACACTTTTGAGAAAAGTAAATAAAATTAATAAGAAACATAACAGCAGTATGCCATTGTAATTGTATTAGTTGTAATTATAATTGTAATCAGTTTTTGGGATTTTGGTTTTGAGAGGAAGAGGAAGAATTACTTCTTTCTGTGAAGATTAAAAGACTGGAGACATTTTAAGAATTTTAACAACATAAGCTATGAATGGAAAATTCCTGATGTCTGCTTCCCTGAGGTTGTTAGCAGAGATGGCTGCGATACTCTGCATCCCATTCATTAGGAATACATACTTATTTCTTGATCCTAACTGCTAACCGGAGTCTAAAGAGACAGTCCCTGATGTAACCAGATTCCATATTGTAAAAGGCGTTTCAGATTATAGGAAACACACTCAAATGCGTTTGGAAACAAACAAGATAGAATTTGTGCACCTGAGGAAGCACACTGCCAGTTGTTGATTCTGGTCATTAGATAAGACATTTTATGGTGTACTGTGGAAAGCTCAGAACTGTTCAGAGGAACTATCAGGGAAGGACTATACGTGGCAACAACCTCTGGAGAAAGTAATATAGCAACTTTCTCTATAAGGGCCCTGTTAAGAGGAAGGATTTGGAAACCAGACTGCCTGGGTTGGAATCACTTATCCACCACTTACTCGCTGGTGACCTTGGGCAATTTATTTACCTAAATGTCATGATACTCAAAATAGGAGTAATAATAATAGCTCATCGAGTTGTGTCAAGATTAAATGAGATAATAAATGTAAAGCATTTAGAATGATGCTTGGGACATAATAAATGCTAAATCTCACTTTTCAGAAGCTATCATACTACAATAAAATCACCAGTATGTCAGGATATTTGAACAAGGATGTTTATTGCTACATGGATTGTAGGGATAAAATCAAAAAATGGAAACCAATCTGAATATGCTTCAGTAGTAGCATACTTGGATAAATGATGCTGTACTCATGCTATGGATTGTTATACAATTATTAGAAAGAATGAGTTAGTGCTATAACTTTTGACCTACAGGATATTCACATATTTCTGTCAAGTAAAAAATAAAAGTTATAGCTTATTGTGATGAGTATAATTCCATTTTTGTACCAATTAGGAACTACAGATACACAGACACACACACACAGACACACACACAAACACACATCTATGTTTATATTAGCACAGAGAGATATGTGGAGAGACATATACATGAATCTTCATATTGTCTGTTTTTGTAAGCATAGAGAAAAGTGTGGGAGGATATAAACTAGTGTATTGATACTGGTTACCCTGGGAAAGGAGAAGATTGCTGGCTTTTCTTTATACATCAGTGTTACTTGGCTTGTTGCTTGCATTGCCTTCATATTTTGAAAGGAAAATTCAACATAGCATTACCAATAGAAAATCAAAAAAGATCAAACTTCATATGACAAATTAGGAGAAAAAGATGTTTACCATCTTTTAACTGAAATTAGTAACATCTTCTAATAAGGTATTAGGGAGGATTACATAAGAATTATTTTCTTAAATGAATTTTATAAATGCAAAAATAATAAAAAATAATAAACAAAAATATTATTAGACACTTAGGCACTTACACCAGACCCTATGCTAAGCCCTTTACATAGGTTTTTGTTTGTTTGTTTTTGAATTCTAAACGAAGGCCCTAAGAGGCATTGTCCCAGCTGTAAAGATGAGTAAAAGAAGCTAAGATGCTTGGTTATTTGTTCAGGGTCACAAATCTAGTGGATCCTATAGCTGGAATTTGAAGCTAGATCTTTGACTTGTGTTCTTACGCAGTATATTGTATATTGCAATTTACAGTGAGGGAATATATTTTTTTAAAACCTCAACTTTCTCAAGTGTATTCATTTGAGCTCCTTTTAATAAGGATTGCTGTTCAGTTTGAAGTTCTAAGAAGTACACAAATTCAACCACCCAGGCATGTTGTAACTTCACAAGGTATAACCTAATTCCTAGATGGGTAAATGGCTAAGGTGGATTTATTAGTGTTGGTTTAGAAGCGGTTCAGTCCATATGTTGCTTGCTAGGACAAAGAAAACAATGAGGATGGCAAGTGAGTGCATTTACACTGTCTTGGTGAGGCTGGGTAATGGTTCAGTCATTGGCAAGGCAGCTAAGGCTGATTGATTTCTGCATTATTCTGAAAGGTAGAAGTCAGTTTGAATAAAGCATACTATACTGAATTTCCTGTTGCCTGGACTACCCTGAGTGTCAGCAGTAAAGAAAACAAATTCCAATGATCCTCAATTGAGAATCGTCTCCCTCCACTTAATGAGGTTTCTGGGAGTCACCAGAGACTTGATTAGTCTCAACATATGAAGATTCAAAGCTTTGTTACTAAAGCTCAGGATCTCCAGTGAATTTAATTTAACTAGACCATTTCTCCTAGAGAATGGTGCTTAGATGTATATGGTAATAAAATGTCTTGGAATACAAAAAGTTGCTCAACCCAAAATTACATCTGAAATTCAAGCAGTTGTTTTCAAGCAGTTGTTTCTATAATGAAAAAAAAAAAAAAGTAATGTAGAGTAATGTTACTAAGAGATTTGCTGTAAAATTCTTTAGGAGCTCCTAATTATTTTCAAGAATAAGCATTGCCTCTGTTTTACAAAACTCTTATGAATTCACTATATGAGGAAACTAGCAATGGAGTGTCGTAACTGAACATTCTCCCAAAATGAGTAGAAACATTTGAATTCTATGTATTGTACAGATCAGGTCTTTTGTAAACATGGGTATATACAAGATAATCCATATTCTTTTGAATTCTGGGTGTGGTTATATTGAAAATTGTAAATACCTTATTATGCATATTTTAATTGTTTCAATAATCTTAAACATTGTTGTCAATAATAACAGGTGTAATAAAGAGAAAATTGGATTTGGGACAGTTAAGTTTCTCTATCAATTTTGTAGCATCTGAAATATAAATAATTGTCTTTAGGTCCCACTTTTATGCCCCGAGAAGTAAGAATAATTGTTGTTCTAGTTCCAATTATGGAATGAATGAGTCATGGGGATGAAAGGTACAACACAGGGAAAATAGTCAATGGTATTTAACAGTGATGTGTGGTGACAGATGGTAGCTACACTTGGGGTGAGTCCGGCATAAGGCATAAAGTTGTCAGATCATTATGTTGTGCGCCTGAAACTAATGTAACATTGTGTGTCAACTATACTTCAATTGAAAAATGGAAAAAATTATCCATGTTTGGAAGGATATGAAATGAGATTGGAAATGGAAAACACCTACCACAGTGCCTAACATCTAAACTAGATCTAGATACTCAATGAATATTATTTCAACTTTTCTTCTGTCTCTTACTTTAGGATAATGCCTACTATCATGCCTGTCCTATAATAGGTATTTAGTAACTAATTGTTTATTACATGAGAGTGTGCCAGTGAGGCAAAGTAAAGTATTATTTTAGGCTGAACTTTATGGATTTGTTCC